ACAATGCTGCCAATTATTTTTGATCGGTTCTGTACAGAGAAAATAAAAAGAAATGAGTGCGGAGAAGATACGTTTTGCTATGGAAACCAACAAGTGAACAACTGCTGTTCACGTACGAATGTCGATGTCAGGCTGACGATGGGCCGAGTAGAGCGCAAAGCTCGGCCAAAACCAAGCCAAGCCAAGCCGAGCCGTTCCGCTTGGTTCAACAAGCGTCCGGGAAACGATGGGTTTGAAGTTGCCAGTCCGTAACATGACTCCCCGCACCGTTCCACGTCGCTGCCTGTCCGCATAACTTTGCCACTATTATCCCATCGCCATTGGCATGACACCGACTGCGCTCGTCACACTCATCATCATCATCATCAGATGAGAAACGGTAGCAAATAATATCTCCTATAACCCCCATGTTCAAGAATTATCCGGATCTACCAATAAATTCCCTAAAGAATATCTTAGAGACGAAACTATATCCAGCAGAGGAATGAAAGAAGAAGGAATTAAATGGAGATAATAACTCCTAGTGCAATAAAAATTCTTCATCTTCCAATCCTTGACTCATCCAAGTACACCAAAAATTCCTAAAGAGATATTAGATACTTTAAACACGGATATCTCACAAAATAAATTATACCTAGGACAGAAAAGACAGGCGAAGCAATCAAATGGACACAAAAATTTGTAGTATGATATAAACTCCTTGTCCATATCTCCCAACTATGAGTTATCCCATCGCCATTGGCATGACACCAACTGCACTCGTCACACTCATCATCATCATCATCAGATGAAAAACAGTAGCAAATAACACATCCTATAATCCCCATGTTCAAGAATTTTCCTGATCTATCAAGAAATTCCCTAATGAATATTACGTAACCTAACGAATATTAGTACGGTATAAACTTTCTGTCCATATCCCTCAACCCTTGATATATCCAAATACACCAAGAAATTCACCAGATATTAACTGCTTTCAACAAAGATATCTTACGAACTGGACTAGATCCTAGATTATATCCAAGAAGAAAAAGATAAACGAAGGAATCAAATGGAGACAGAAACTTGTAATATCCTATCCACATCCCCCAACCTTTAAATTATCCAAATACACTAAGAAATTGCTAAACAGATATAGGGTACTTTCAACAAAGACATCTCATGAACTAGGCAAGATCCAAAGAAGAAATGACAGATTCTATCTCTGCTTTTGTAATAGAATTTTTTTAAATAGTAAGTCATTTTCTGAGTAACAACTAAATGCATGTATTATTACAAATCTAATTCGATAATAAACAAGTATTAGAAAAGCTTTTTTATGTCGTAATTCCGTCGTTAGTTCTAATACCACCCTGAGTGTTGACTTTATTATTTCTAATAATAACGTTAATGTCGCGGAGACCGAATAATGAATACTTTAATCTTTCCTAGAAACTAAAAGCAAAATCATGCCTGTTGATGATGTTAGAAATTGTCAGGAATCAGTTTTATCTGCTGGAGAGAGTTAATTGCTAAAAATAAAAGTCATTAGACCGATTTCCGATCCAGCAGGCTTGAAATGTAAATCCAATCATTACAGGAAGTTTATTAACAAATGCTAGTATCTTAGCTCTTAGCATGGTCACAGTTAGTGCAAATTCTTAGCAACACGTCCACGGAAGCAAGTCAGGGCCGGATTTACAGGACAACAAATTAGACGAGCTTTTTCATATTATCGAACTTTTAATTTGACTAAAAATCTAAACTGTTGATCCAAATATTCTACAAAATAGTGCATTACTTCATCAATCTTACAACTTGTAAGCCTGTGAATTATTAGATAGCAAATTTCCATATATCCATAATCTTTAAAAATATTAAACATTAGGTGTTTTCTTTAGAAATTAAATGGAATAACGTTGAAAATATTAGCGTACGATTGCAGACATAATTTGTTGTAAATCCGACCCTGTAAGACACGATACATGTACACCTATAATACAGGAATTACCTGAATATACTCGCAAAATCCATCGAAACCGTGAAGATGACAACATTAAACCTGTAATTGATTTATTGCGAAAACACTTACACTACATTGCTTAAGTACTCACTTAAATTTAATGATTCCAATGTAAAGTATATTTATTATTGCTATTTTATTATATTACAATAATCGTCTAATAAGGTAGAAAGAAAATTTAATGAAATTATCAACTTATTTTAATTATGTCCAGAGTTTTTCAGTTAAACTTTTAATTATATTAGAATTCACTTCAACTAAGCCGATTATACCCAGACGATTAACCGAAACCAATTAATGTCTAATCTTTATACAAATTAAACCGTACCACAAGTGTTGTGAAAGAGTAGACGAAGGGATTAGTGGTATTGGATACAAAATAAATGTTCTCAAAACTTTTAATCTTCTCCGTAAATAACTCTTTCTGAAGTTAATTAATTTTAGCCAACACCCTGGACTTTACGATAATGCCGAATTTCGGCTAAGTGATCCCACGATATAATTTCGATCTTATTTGTTCCCAGCAGCACCCCCTCAGCAGTTTCGATATATAATTCACCGATCAAACTTATTTGGTTACAACTGACCAAGAACTTAATTCGTTCTTACCATGTTGTATTATTTCGCATAACTAATTTACGAAAATTGCACCTGAAGAAACGTTATCTAGCAAATTAATATGATACTTGTAACGGAATGTTGAAAATCAGCAGTTTCTCAACTCATCTAATAAAAGAAAAGCTAATTATCTAAAGGCAATATTGTGAGTCAACTAAGCTATGTAGTACATAGAAAAATAGGCACATAAAGATAGTTTTTTCTGCATAGGATACGCGTGAGTTAATAATTCGATTTTTTACGTGTATAATGGATAAAATAATTTGTTGTTTCAGTATGGTGCCCTCAAACTGTTGTGTTATTAACGACCTTGACCTTGGAAAAAACTTGATCGAAGCAGCCATGCGAACTAAAACTTATGCCTGTATATATTCACCAAAACTGTGCTATACCAATTAACCATCAGCAAGTTTAAAATTCCAAATTGTCTAGTTAAACAAATATGTACATAAAAGTACATGCCCAAAATACATATACAAAATGCGATAGTTACATTCTTGTATATTATGTATTACATTCAAACGTTTATAGCCAGAAAGCTCGCATTCAATCACCAAACTATCTGAAACTATTTTGTTAAATTTATCTGAGACTGACTATCTTCACCAAAATATTCACATACTTATAATTATTTTACACCAATTTTTATTACTAACTAATTAATGCTATAGTAAGTATTCATGGTATACTTAAATATTATCTTATTTGACTAAAGACATCTCCCTCCCCCTTCACGCTAAATAACACTTTCAGCGACTCCCCTAACAAATATTACGTCACAAAAGCTAGTCCACCCCCACTATAGCAGATCTCTTGTGATTAATAATAGCAATGAGAATGACGAAAATTTTAAAAACCGCCAAGTTAAGAAAAACATTAAAATAAAATTGATGAACGGCGAACATCACATTACCTTAGATTCTCCCCCTCCCCTTGTCATATATCCTCACGCTAAGCAATACCCCTCCCCTTGTCATATATCCTCACGCTAAGCAATACCCCTCCCTACCTCTTGTTTGTGAACATATTTTCCTAATGACCCCTAAGATTCACAATACTACACTTTATAATTAAACACCCTACTCATTCTTTTAATTTGAATATTTCATTGGGTGTAGCCCACATATATGAATAATAAAAAAAGTCCGTTTTCGGGTTCCTAACTTTTAAAAATATTTTTACTATCACTATCATTCCAAAAGAGATCCAAAATGGAAATCAAAATACAAACTTTTACTTGTTGTTTCCTGTGAAGAAAGGTTTAAATAATATTTTTTTATATTACTACATAAAATAACGCTCTGTATATAGTTTACTGAAACATTGAAGCAAACATTATATCTAAATAAACATTACTGAAACAAGAAACACAAACTGTTTCAATAATTGTTTCTATAAACTAAATGAATACGGTACTACTGCAGTATTATATTTCTATTTTCTAACCAGTTAAATAGAATAAAAATTTTAATTAGACATCTCATCAATAGTATTTAATTTAAGTGCGGTATTATTTAACATCAAATTGAAACCGTTTCGACGGTTATAATTCTTTTCTTTTTTTGTTTTCAATCGTAAATGTAAAAAACACTACCGTAATTAAATAATTCCTAATTGAAGGGTTCTTTGTTTATAGTTCGGTGGTTCCCATCGCTTCCTTTCTCTCGTAGTAAAGTATCAGCAGTTGATTAAGAAAAAACGTAACAGAACTTTCGAAACGTTATTAGCATACTTTAATTAGGTAGTTGCCTGCTCTTAAAAATTTCAATAGATTTGTATGAACTTCGCACGCAATGTTTACTAGATAACTTTCTCTACAATACAAGAGAATTTTAAAAACGACAAGAATCATTTTTACTATTAAGATAATGAAAAAATATAATATATAGTTACTGAATTATTTAACGTTTCTGAAATAATACAACAAAATAGTTTTTCTTAATAAAAACAACCTTAGTACTAACATGTTTAGGCAACCCAATTAACAACTGCGTACGACCGCCATATAAATTTCAATTAGCGGGAATAATCAGTAGTTTATTTTTTAAAAGTAAGAATAAAGCTTAAACATTCTGGAAAATGCTGTCATTTTTAAACGCAGAAAATCTATCGACTAGTTTAGAAGAGAATGGGTCTTTGACAAACTAATCATCAAGAAGGAATGTACCTTTCTTATATTTAATTGCTACATCTAAGTAATTGGTAAATAAATAATTTGTTCTGTATATGTATTTGTTTTCTTTTTATTATATAAATATTTTACCCTTTACTCCCAATCTTTTTTCTGCAAATATGCAGCAAAAATGGAAATAAACCTATGAACCGAATTTCAAAAAAATTAGAATTAAAATACTATAGATATACCACTGGTTATACGAATATTCAATGAGCAAATTTGACGTTAGAAGTAGTTTGAAGTTTCTAGGTTAGCTTTGAGTAGAAATAACAATTTATGTGTTTTATTTTACAAAATGTTAATAAAAAAAGTGCAATTTGCAACTACAAATCACTTTCATACCTTCTTTAGATGTTTGTCAGCAGTAATTCAAAAAAGGGTACCAGACAATGGCATAGAAGCAACCGAACTAGAGCTTGTTAATCCTCAAAATGATACTCCTATGAAAAAGTCTCCTTTGGAGAAGTGTACTGAGGACTTATCTGAGATATCACCCTATTTTATGCCTACATTTAACTTCGCTGCCTACGTCAATAAATCAGAAACCCTACAGGAATTGTTAAAGTTGGGTGTTAACTTGTACAAATTAGAAAAGAAAGTAACAGTTGTTCCCTTAATTCTGAAATTAGATTTTGAGAAGAATGTTAAACCACTTGTTACCTTTTTACATGAATTTGGTGTACCCATTAATGAAATAGGTCATTTCATTACTAAAAATCCATTCATCTTCAAAGAAGATTTAGAGAATATGGAAGCACGAATCAATTATCTATTTTCCAAGAAGTTCACAAAGGAAATGATACTTAGAATAGTGACTTTAAATCCTTTCTGGCTTAACTTTAGGTACAATTTCAACTATATTCTTACATATGTATACTTAGAGATTATTAAATGTTTCAGTATTGAGAGAATTGACAAAAGACTTGGATTTTTTCAACAAAACTACACATTAAAAGGCAATGAAGTTAGAACACTAGCAACCATAAGTCCTAAATTGATTACTTACAATTTGAGACAGATTAAAGCAAATACTTTTGCCATTAAAGAAGAAATGGGTTTTGATGAAGATGAAGTTAAATCACTTCTCCTAAGTACACCAAAAATTTTTATGAAAGGTGAAATATAATCAATGTTAATCAAGTACATATTAACAAAACATCTACTTTTCAGATCAGAATGGAGTCCTTAAAACTTTTGAGTTTATTCACAAAACTATGGGCATCTCTCATGATATGATTCTGAAAGTACCAGAAATTTTGACTTTCAGGGAATTTAGAATAAAAGAGAGGCACACATATCTAGAAACATTAGGAAAAGCCCAATATAATCCTAGGGAGCCAAATTATGTTGCACTTGTATCATTAGCTGGAGGTTCAGATGCTGATTTCTGTGATAAAGTTGCTAAAACGTCTGTTCACTCTTTTAATATCTTTCTGAAAACATTATAATGTTTCTATAGTATTAGATGTAAAATAAAATTGTTTAATAAAGCCCATAAAAATTAAATTCAGCATCACAGTCAAGTACAAATTTTATTTTATGGGATTTAAGGAAAATCACAATCAAATATAAAAGATATTTAGGAATCACAGCGATATAAAAAAACCCATCAATCACAGTTACATTTAAATAATTAAATGATAATATTTATTTAATAACAGTTACACGCCAATTGATAGATAAAATTTAAAATTGCTTTAGAGACGTCTTTTATCAGGATTTTTAGTTAATAAGGTAATATAATATAGAGATGCCTAACGATTGGCAACCCAATTATTTTCAAGTAAAAATTGAAAAGTTATCAATAAAAAATTAATTATCTATAATCGAAACAACTGTAATACTTCATTTAAAACAACTGACCATATTAAAATAAGTAATTTTAGACCTTTTTTTTATAAAACCCACATAATAGTTGAAAATAAATACTACTACATAAATTATTCACATCAATGTAATTTGCCTAATTCAATTTTCTTTAAAATTCTCATGGAATTATAAAATAAAGAATCTATGAGCCCCGCTACTGTATAAACTCCGCCTATAATTGCGCATAAATTCGTCATGAAATGACCAAAAGAGCGTTCATTTTCGGTATATTTTACCATGAGGGGTGAGAGTTCATACTCAAAAAAAGCGCCTGGCATTCCTGATTCTCCAGACATTACAGAAATTACCTTGTGATGTTTCGTGACGGAATACTGATTAGACCAAATTATTGAACCGTCTTTTTTAACATATTGCGTTGGAACTATTTTTATGTAGTACTGAAACATAGTTGCACCTAAAATTTAATTTAAATGAGCACCTGAACCATTTAAAGAAGATAAAATAATGTTAAACAATTTATGTAATGGTTAATTCATTAATAACTAACTCCCCTGTGTTACGCCTATGCTTTTTGTACGACCTTCATGGCAAATGTCAAAATCTCAAAATTGTACATAAAAAACGAGGGTGTAAAGTAACAAATCGAGTGTTTATAATTTTCCTAATACTTTCCAATATTGAATTTAATTTTTTGCAGTTTTGAGACATCAAAGTAAGTTCAGTGTAAAACAATTTTTGTTATCACCCTTAATCGATATCAATCGTGAAAAAGTGTTATTCCAAATTTTAGGTTAAAAATTAAAAAAGCCCAATATGCCCACTGTTCCTGGTGGAGTTTATCATCAACAAGGACCTTCCTGTTTTGATCGAATGAAAATGGGTTTTATGCTCGGATTTTGTGTCGGTATGGCTAGCGGGGCAATATTTGGAGGATTTTCAGCTTTGAGGTTAGAACGAACTTGTGAAAATTGATGTCATGTTATAAAGAAAGTAACTTAACAATAAGTAATTCTTTTTAGGAGCGGATTAAGAGGCAAAGAACTTGTTAACACAGTAGGAAAGGTCATGCTTCAAGGTGGAGGCTCCTTTGGAACATTTTTGGCCATTGGATCTGGGTTACGGTGTTAGCAGTATCAGAGTAAAAAATTTAAATTAAGAACTACATACAAACAATGTAAATTACCTATCATCACTTTACAGGATAATTTAAGAAGTTTGAATCATGTTAATAAGACAAATAAAATTCAATGTGCACATTAAAACTTAATTTGTAGTTAAATGTAGTGTACTTGATATAGACTGAAATGCAACTGAATGGAGCATGTGGGTGAATGAATTTTTCAAGCCTTTTCTTTTGTTAGTTATGTAAGTAAAACCAATAAAATTTGTTCAAGTTGAGCATGTGTTTTTGGAAAGCTAGAAGTTTCACTCATTACCCCTATTGTAACTAACAAATGCATGCAATATTAGCCCTTTAATGTGTTACAACAAAGCTAAATTGTTTCATGAAATTAATTACCAATTGTTATTAAGGGATTCAAGCTAATGAAAAATGACAAAAGAAGTTTCTGTTGAGAACACCAATAAAGTAAGGGAGAGAGTAAAATGTAATAGCTTAAAATAATGTGCTCACCTTCCTTAGCAATGGCAAATGTATTTTTCAGGGGATCATGAGCTTGACCATCAATATTAGTGCCGAATGTTAAACTATTTATTTTGTGGCTTGCATTAAAAGACGACGAAGCCAATGGCTGTATGTTGTGGACGTGTATGTGGTTAATACTAAAACTGCTACCGGGCGCAATATGAAACCTTCCAGCGACTCTGTTGACTACTAAAGTGCCATAAATTTGGCAGCCTTCGTTTAAGGCCTCTTTTGTTACTTCGCTTGCATTTTCGCCTTTACACTGCTCAATAGATTCCGGATTTTCTGGGAAAGCCCAACGTTTTTCCCTGTAAGCCTCCCTTACTTCGCTACACGTATTACAACAACTACAATGATATTTATAGTAGAGACTACTTTAATTCATCAAATAAATAAATATCTACCCCTCTTTTGCACCATAACAACTGCCACATTTTACAGATTCATTTGTAGCTTTCTGAAAATAATTTTCTTACAACAAATAAACTCTGATATTGTCAGGAAACTTACTATTGTAGTTTCCTCTTTAACCCGAACTGTAATTTCTTCCTTAACAGGTTCCTGAATAGGATTCCCTTTTAAATCTAATCTACGTTTATAAATATTGTGTTGAATTTGTAAATGTTGTTCTCCAGATGAATCCATTGCATCAAGAGATAAAACTTAAATGAAAGTATATTACAGAAAAGGTTTTAATACACTGTAACTATATTACATACAGCTACATGAGATACCAGGGACTACAATGTCCAAATTGATTTGGAGATTGGGATTTCTTGAAGTATCCACAAACAAATCTTCTCTTACATTAGGCTTTAAATAGTCATTGAGCTCAGTCCAAAACAATAAAATAATAATTGTAACACTGATAATGGTCACTAAAAGAAGCATTTTAAACGTCATATTCTAAGTCAGAGTTGAAATAATCACCTGCTGCCCCTCCATATGTTTTAATTCTAAAGTCTTCCAATGTTTTTGGATAGGCATCAAATTTACGTAATTTATCCAACAGTTGGGACATTCTGCACGTTTCAGTTGTTATATTTTGCAGTATTTCACACAAAAAGCATTACTGTGGTTAATTATTTATTGAGTATTCACATTAATTGGAGGGCGTTTATCTTAAAATTATTCAGGTTAAAACATTATCTTATCACTTTAAGTGGCTGTAATAATTGTAAATTAAATTTTAAAAAGCACGATAATTACAAAGGTACTGACATATTGACTAATTTAATAAAATACTTTTAAAAACAGTTACAAATTACAATAACAGTCTTAAAATTACCACAGTGTTATGATTTCAATTTTGAATGAGGTTAGGATAACAATAAAATACTTTGAGAAGTTACCATCAGAGGGTGCAACAGGTGGGTTTATTTGACCTACAATGATTGATTGCACCTAAATTTAAAATTTAAAAAATAAAAGTTTTTCAATTTGTTTTCAACACATTATTTATGAACGTATTTTTAAAATTTTTGGCATAATTACAACTGCAAATTTAAATAATAAGCATCACTTGCATTTGCAACAAAATATAACTTAACTTAAATATGTCTGTATATAGTTTTACTGTTAATGGGGAAAGTACCGGACATTTGCTTAAATAAAATCTTTTTTAAGTGCACCCGTCTTAATAAAAAGATTAATTTACTATTTTAAAACAGCGTCTGCATCTATAAATGCTATATATCCTATATTTAACAAATTACTTAATTATTATCGTTTAGTATTTAGCGCATTTTATTAGAACCGCTGTACAGGATTTAAAATATAATATTACTTTAGTTTGAAATAAACCAAAAGATAGAATAACTCACTTTTAAGTTCCTTTAAAATTAACGAAGAAAAAGCTAATAGAGATAAAGAATAATGAATGATTTCAACAAAGTGATAAATTGGCTCCTACTAATAAATACGTATTTAATAATCCCTACAGTCGTAAAGGGTATAAAATTAATTTTAGTTTGAGAAATGCTTCATAAATACCTACTTGTTTGATCGATATGAAAACTGACGTTCTAAAATTTACGTCACTTATCTAAAATATTTTTTTTGTTATTTTTTTTAATAATTTGAAAATATCGCCGATATGTATGGTAGACGGGGTCTTGAAATTGAATTCGATGACGATGAGGACGATGATGACGAACCATTTATTGTGGACATTCAAGTCCAGGATGAATCAACGACATTGGACGTTTCTGACGATCAGCTACAAGAAACTGTAGACAAGGAGGACACGAATTTACCCCAAATTCTGGCAGTGGCTTTTGCTTGCGTCCTGGAAGACACCGTCGATCAATTAGGAACCATCAGTAACATGGCAGGACTACCGAGAATCCGGAAGAAAAATGAGGAAGGAAAGATAGATGAAACACTGGAAGAGTTGAAAAGGCACATCGGAAGTGGTAACATTTTCGATCCAGAAATACTAGCGCCAGCTGAAGAAGCCCTTCAGTACCAAAAACTACTCAAATTCCAGAAAGATGTCCATTTGGTCAGGGATATTTTGGAACAAACGATCAATAACTTGGCTACTTTAAACAATTTCGATTGCCTCGTCGATAAAATAAACGAATACCAAACGAAGCGAGTCCAAGAAAAGAACTTCCTAGAATCTGCGAGAGAGAATAGAGAAAAGCTCGAGAATTTGCAAAAAGCATTTGACATAGAAAAAAGTGAGGCAGAACGAGAAATTCAAGAAAAATCAGAAGAAATCGGCAAAATCAAAGATGAGATCGAAAATACCATTTTCGAAAATGGAGTAAAAATGCGCTACGTGTCGAAATGGGAAAATTCACGAACTGAACTAAACAATTTCATCATTGACACGACCGAGGAAAATTATCTCAACAAAATAAAAACTTTAAACACGGAAATTGAACGGGAAAAACGAATCAATAAGGAAATAGAAACCTACATTTCTCAGACACAGGAGGTATTAATTATGTAGGCGTTGAATACCAAAATTTAATATTATTTTTTAACAGTTCCTTCCAACATTTATCATCGAAAGCATTTAAATAAATAATACATTAATAATAATAATGTTCTTACAACTGATAAAATTATATCTAAACATAATTATTACAAAAGTTGACTTACATGTGCCTCTAGGAGTATGAAGACAAGATCCTGGAGTGGATGGAACGGTACGACACTGAAATAGAACAATTGGACATGGATATACAAGTTATCAAAGAAAAAATTGAATCGCAACAATTAAAATATGCAGAAGTTAAAAATACGGTAATTAAAAAATTAATAAATGGACTTTAAATAACATGAAAAAGTATAATATTCAATTTCCAATTTGTTAGTACGAAGAACATAGAAAATTCGTGGAAAAATGGGCCGCGTACAAGGAGAAAAAGCGTAAAGAACTGGAGAGGAGACAGGCAATCATGGAAGCTGCAATTGTGATACAAAGCTGGTGGAGGGGTATTATGGTGCGGAACAAACTAGGTCCCTACGGGAAGAAAGGGAAGAAAAAATAAGCTGAAGAATTAAAAATAATGTCAAAACAATCGTTGATTGTAAAATACTGCCTACAATAACAGTTCATTTGAAACATGTACCTACATTCAGTCTAATAAAGTTTCACCGTCATTTCGCCTTTTAGTGAACGGCTTCATCAAGGGTAGGTTTTTCAAGTTAAAAATGTTAGTTTATTTATATTTTTAAAAGCGTATCTTACAAAAACCTATAAATACCTATTGCTTTTATTTATTTTTAAAATAAGGATAAGAAATGAAAACTGAAATTTCTCTGAGCTGGTTATGTTACAGTAAAAGGTTTTAAAATCAAAACATCTAAAAACAAATGTGAATATGACAACTTAACGTTAGAAATAATTATTTATTTCGATTAATTTTTTCGACTGATTTGTTTGTCAATGCGTTACATTGTTTTGTTCGATATATATATATTTACTTATATATGGAAAGAAAATTTTGGTGAAGAATAAGACGAAGAAAAAGTAACATCATGCCGTTAGGTAAACAATCTGCTGTATATTCCGAAGAGTTTCTCGTCATGGATGACAATTTCAATTTATCAGTATCATCGATATCTCAATCGGGTAAAAACTCGGAAGTATCAGAATCCTTTATCAATAATGAACCTGTTTACGTTCTGCCACGTCTTATGGCAATGGCATTCGCGTGCGTCTTGGACGAAGCAGCCAAAAAACTATCTCTCATCCTCAATTTCGATGGCATTCCAAAAATCGAGAGTAATAAAACCGCCGACGAAGTAACAGAAGGCGAAGAAGTGGTATTCGACCACAAAACATTGAAACCTATCCAAGAAATGCTGGAATACGAAAAGATAATAAAATTCCAAAGAGACGTGTATTTCGTTAAAAAAACTTTAGACGAAACGACGAAAAGTCTGTTAGAAACCAACAGCTTCGACTACCTGGTGACCGAAGTAAGCGAGTACAAACATAAACGCGACGAAAGAAACGATCTCCTGAAGGAATTGGAACAATACAAACAGGAAATTGCCGAGTTCAAAAGGAAGTCTGAGGAAGAGACTCGTTTGTCGGTTGTCGATTTTCAAAACTTAAGAAGGGAAGCCATGAAAATTGGAGAGGAAATTATGCAAGACACGCTTACCAAAAATGCAAAAATGAGATACGTATCGAAATGGCAAGCTTCCCGGCAGGAACTGAACTATACGATTTTAATTAACGATGAAACAAAACTTCGTAATATTATCAATACTATGGAAAGAGAAATGGAGAGAGAAAATCGGGTACATGACGAGATTGAAAAATTTATAAACGAACAGCAGAAGGTTAATACGGCAATTTTAACTAATCTCGTATTATAAATATTGATGTGAAAATTCATTCAATTTTTTCTAATTAACTTGAGGTAATTTATAGCGAACAAAAATTAATTGAATTTTCGCATTAACATTTAGTATTAACCACTATTAAATTTCAACTAAATCATTATAACGCCTATTAATATTAAATGCTCTTAGGAATATGAAGAGCAGATTGACGAATGGATTCGCCGGTATGACACAGAAATGGAACAATTAGACCTAGACATTTCTGTAACTAACGAAAAAATAGAAGATCAAGAGAAAAAGAATGCGGAAATAAAGAATAAGGTAAGTACCTAACACAGAGGTCGATTAATATAATTTTTAAATGCGTCATCATTATCATAAGGCCGTCAGTTCTAGGACCGATAGGACACGCACCTCCACCCTTTCCTATACTGAGCTAATCTTCGTATTTCCTTGAAACTAGAACATCCCACATCCTTAACTATTTTCTGTTTCTGCTTCTAATATGTCTCTGACTAGACCTTCCGTAGAGTCTTTTCTATCCACGGTTTCCTCATCATTCGCCTGTAACACCACATTTCGAACGCTTCTGACATTTTCTTACCCTCTTCTAACCCGTACAGTGTCACGCTTCAAACAAATTTTTAACAATATTTTTCAAATTTCTAAATTAACCGTTCACGAGTTTCATGTCCTTACTATTCCTTCCATCCTGACTTATTTGATTTCCTAAATACCGAAAATCATCAGTTACTTCTTCTAATTTTTCGTCACCTATTCGCTCTTTCCCCTTTTTTAAATTACTACTGCAAAAAAAATATTTTAAGAACATGTCACCACCTGTACGATTTCCTTTTGGGCAATGATTGACGTAAAAATAGTAAATAACTTTCTTATACAGTATGAGGAACGGCAAAGATTTATTGAAGAATGGTTAGAATACAGAGAAAAGAAAAGATTAGAAAGGGAAAGGTACGAAAGGATTTTCGAAGCTGCTATGACAATACAGTGCTGGTGGAGGACAGTTATGATCAAAAAGAAGCTTGGTCCCTACGGGAAGAAGAAAAAGGGTAAAGGTAAAAAGAAATAGACATTTGGGGATGCACGTGTAGGTACGCATATTAGCGGTGGTCTTTCTATGTGTAGTAAGTGTAGATATATTTTATTTGTGTTATTGTTGTTTTAGTATAAGTATTCTACTGTTTATTAATAAATTTTATAGATATTTGTTGTAATTTGTAATTGTCAAACTTGAAAAATATACTTTAAAGATAAAAGTCCATCAATCTATTCCAATAAAACTAAAATTATAACCTTCTCGTTTTAAATTAACCCGGCGCATCCACCAAAATATTTTCAATAAAATTTTTTAATAAGTAATTGCTGATATCCTTACATTACTTACATTCAGCACTTAAAGGATACTTTACAATATTAACCGTCCAAAACGACCATCAACAAATGTCAAGTTTAATGCTTCGTACATGTACAATTAATTACTAATTAATAAAAGGACTCAAAGCTTTCAGTTTTTTGTACGAGTTTCTTCATTCAAAAGGGACCAAAAGTTAACATTAATACTAAGCAGAAATCTTTGTAACCCCGACTATATAATTTCTACTATAAACAAAATTAACGAAAAATTTTGCGTAATAAGTAGATATAAATGTGCAAAATTTCGGCTTGTTCTGATTTTTTTGAATCTATCCTGATTACAAATACGTTTTTGGGAAATGATAATAGATGATTCATAAGTTTGGGACCATTTTCAATTCTGGGCGCCCAAAATTATTAATTTCAGTCAATTTAAATATGAATTGTATCACGCGGTAGGGTGTCATGAGGGGACGTGTTATACCTATGTGATTTTGCGAAATTAAACGTAATGATTCATACATTCGGGTTCTTTTCAACCAATTTTCAAATTTTGATGTTCATAATTTCGGTCTTTAAAATGATTGAAGCCAATTTTATACACTGCAACAAGCTTGTTGTAAGGTGACGAAATGACTAATAATTTCGAGACTTTTGTAATTGAAGCATTTATGTAAGTCTTCGAGTAAACTTTGGAAATGTCAATAATCATATATAAAAAGTCACATTCGAAATAAAGTTGTATGTTTTACTATCGATTGAGAAGATAAACGATGCGTTCTAAAACAGGCAAAATAGACTCAGTCGTTAACATCGATTCATTTTTAGTACTAGATCCCGATCATATCATCAATTTACTGTCAGATGAAAGTTTCAAAGAGGTAGATGCTCCACCGGTTTCGAAACGATCGGATGTCCACGTTTTACCCCGACTAATTGCCGAAGCGTTTGCCTGTGTATTAGATGATACTGTCAACAAATTGGACCTTATAATTAATGTGGGGCAGCTTCCCCGAGTAAAGGAAGAAGAGGAAGAGGAAGAGGAAGAAGAAGAAGATGAAGATGAAGACCATGAAGGCGAAGACAATGCGATAGAAAGTCAGAAAAAAACGGATGAAGTTCCCGGAGAAATATATGACACAGTTACTCTAGAACGTCTAGAAGACTCCCTGGAGCGCCAAAATTTGTCAAAATTTGTCAAAGACGTCCGTTTTGTAAGAAATTTGTTAAAAAAAGCCTGCAATAGTCTCGTGAAGAAGAACTCCTTCGATTTAATCGTCCACAAAGTCTCTCAATATAAAGATTATATAGAGAAGAGATCGCAAATTATGAAGGAAAATTTGCAAATTAAGAAAGAAATTTCCGACCTCAAAAAGTCTTTTGTTAATGAGAAAAAAGATGCGCTTAAAGAAATTGATAAGATAAAGAAGGAAACGCAAGAGATGAGAAATTCGCTTGGATTGCAAGTGATAATCGAAAATACCAAGATGCATTACGTGCAAAAGTGGGAAACATCAAGGAATCAATTAAATACGTTCATTTTAACTCGACAGGAAGATCAACTTAAAGATAAGATTACTAGAATGACAGTAGAAATGGAAAGAGAAGAAAAAGTTCACGAGGAAGTTGAAAAGTTTTTATCAGAACTGGAACAGGTTCGAATTTTTAACAATAATTTAATATTGATCAAAAACGAAAAATGGTAAGTGAATCGACCTAATGTTTCTACAAAAAATCATGTAGGCAACATGAAATGTATTATTTAGCAAAAAAATGTACAGTTTATGTTTAATTTTCAGTGACAATATTAGGTCGATTTCCTATAGAATCTTATTATGAAAATTGTAGAATCATTAACGTAAACGACAAATATCCGCTTAACTTTTCACAAGAATTTAATTTTTATAACAGAAGCTCTGCTAAAAAAAGTTTCTTAATAAAATTCTTGCAATAGATACCTTTTTGATGTAATTGATTTAAATAAATATAAATTCAGGATTACGAAAAACAAGTAGAGGAATGGATGGAGAGATATGATAGAGAAATGGAACAATTAGACTATGATATTAGTGTAACTAACGAAAAAATCGAAGAACAAGAAATTGCAAACGCAAAAATTAAACAAAAGGTACCTATCGACATAATTATTTTATATTCTATCAAAAGCACACCTACCTACTTTTATGAATAAATGTTGATTGCAAAATCACAATTACACAAGCGAAAAACACTTATTTTGAGTAAAAGTTTTAAGGAGTTACAGTCTTAACACGAACCTAAACCACATATTTACTATAAAATCTTTTATAAGCCGATACATTTTGTGCAGTCTTATCATGTTTACACAATTCGTCGTGGTATTCAAGTTAGTTTTTGCGGTGTTTTTTGTCGATGGTTCGAGTAAACAACAGGGCAGTTAATATGTTTTTAACAAATAAGATGTATGTGAAAGTATGTTCTACACTCATTTTCCATTTAAATAACAAGAACGCTTTTAAATTAATTTTTATAAACTTTTCGAAACAAAATTTTAACAAGAATTTTTGAAAAGCAAAAATGGACACAAAATTATTGGCAGGTGATTTATTTGGTCAATTAGACCTGACTTATGCAGATACTTTGCTTTTCAAGGAAAATCAACTTTGTTATTTTATTAATAACTTAATAGCTTTTCTATTTTTCAAAAATTGACTCCGCCTCTTCTTACTTGTAATTATGCAACACATTTTACACTTGATTTATAAAACATCTATAAATAATTTGTAAATGATAATTTATAAATAATATACACGCTATTTTTAAGCTATTGCTGCTTTCTTGACTGCATGTTTATTAATTGTTTACTCTTAACGTTCTAATTTGAATAAATAAGCACTCAAGAGATTAAGTGCCGAGGCATTATGTATATATAAAATCGCAGAAACTTCTTTGTGTACATAAAAAACTAGAAGCAAAATTAATCAAATTAATTAATTTTTTGTTAATAGTGGTGGACCCTTAAAACAACCTTCGTATATATGCTGCAAAGAGCAATCTAATTGAATTAGTGTTATTGTCTGTATAAAGATTTTCCCTATTAATCTTTTTCTTTTAAGTATGAAGAACGCCAAAAATTCATTGAAGAGTGGCTAGTGTATAGAGAACAGAAACGTTTGGAAAGGGAAAGATTTGAAAGAATAACCGAGGCCTCTATATCAATTCAGTGCTGGTGGAGAGTCGTGATGATAAAAAAGAAACTTGGTCCCTACGGAAAGAAAAAGAAGGGCAAAGGAAAAGGAAAAGGAAAAAAGAAATAGAATACCTCTATATTATTTTTATATTAATAGATATGTTAATATTTTTATTTTATTACGTACCAATTTTATGTAATTAGAAGGGTTTGTTAAGAACAATTGCTGTTATTATTAAAAACTAATTAATATAACTAAAGTAACAGCAACTTTTCCTAGATAAACCTTACATACACCTACATTTATTTTTATATTTTATTTATAATGGAAACAAATGTATTTTAATATACTCTACTAATAATTAATGGAATAATTAAAATGCGATTTTATAAAGATTTTTATTGGAAAAAAACAAAAAAGAACAATAAAGAACAAAATGTAATACAAACATTTGGTTACAACTACACTAATAAATTAATTATAATTTCCAAATCATATCGGCATTATTTAAAACTTCCTCACAATTGGCTTGTTTGTAAAACATGAAAAATCCTTGTATCTGAGCTGGACTAACGTTTTTACCAAAAGCTACAACTTTGTTGGCAAATTCTTTAGCAGCAGTCCTTGCCTTTTCTCCGTCATAAAATCGTAAAAACATTTGTTCAATCTGATATTTTGAACACCATCCAATGTACTCCTTTAAATCCACCCTTCCCGGCCTTATTAAAGCAGGATCAAGTCTACATAAAAAAAAAACAATAACACATTCCCAAATTACTTTTAAAATACACCTTTACCTCTCCAGGTAATTAGTAGTCATAAAGACAATTCTTGCTTCTGTGGAAGCAACTCCATCTAAACAATTAAGTAAACCACTAAAAGTAACCCTGTTCAATCCCTCATAGGCTGCCTTTTGATGCACAGTGTCTTCTCTTGATACAAAGGCTGCATCAACATCTTCTAACAGTATAATACTTTGCTGAGGGGCCACAGCAAGAAGATGGTTCAGCCTGTCATCACTCAAGCCCCTCTCAGAGAGATTTAGCACACAAATGCCAAATTCAAGTTCACCTGCTAAAGCTGTTATGTAGGAAGATTTTCCACAACCAGGGGGCCCATATAAAAGATATCCTAATTGACAATTAAGTTATAATTGGATGTATATAAAACATTATCATTTATCCTTATTCTACCTCTTCTGTATGGTATTCCCCTTTGTGTGTACCACAGTGGATTACTTATGAAATCCCTACAATCTTGTAGAATTCTATTACTAATCCCTTCATCTAATATCACAGAATTGAGTGGACGACGTCGTTTGGGATGGCCAAATGGTCTCCATTCACTCCCCAGTGCGGTGTACATAATTGTTTTTCCTTCATGTTGTCTAAGTGCCATTTGTCTAGCTAACACACCATTATATGAGATACTGTAGCAGTTCTCACCTTTTTCTTTTACTTACCTTCTTCTAGAATATCAAAATAAATCGCCTTGTCTCTTCCAAGAGCAGTGAGTGTCACTGTTTCCCATGGTGTCCCCATATGTAGATCTAATGTGTGCTGTTCTCTAGTACGCTCTACTTTTATCCATGTTCTGCCATATCTTTTAATGAATATTTCAGTTAATTATTAATTTATGACTTTCTCGATGTTATCAGTACCTAAAGAAATGAGTGCCCACACTTGGAATGAAGTCATACTTGGTCTTTACATGACCAGTGTCTCTTTGTTCAAAACTAGTTTCAACACTCAAATGTTGCGTTTCTTTAGCACCTTTATTTGTCATCCATTGTAATAACCACTGGTAAGATTTGTCACGACAAGGAACTTCTAAAGTGATCATATATTGTCTTCTGAGGTAAATTGTGGCATATTGCAACCCTTTTCGCAACACAGCAGCACTTGCTCCTAAGCTGAACAAGCCAAATCCTGCTCCAAAATATGGATTATCTGATAAATTTGTTATATATTCTGCTATAGTCATTGTGCTTTCTATAAAACCATTTCTATCTTTTCAAAAAGTCGAAAAACTCACAAGTTAAAGGAATTAATCTGACATTACTTTACACACAACCTCAAATTTCTGATGTTTTCTTTTTCTTCTTGGTAACTAACACAAACTTCTATTTAGCCATGCAGAAAATGCTTATACAGTGTGTTATAAAAATATGTCTTACAAATATTTTGTACCACAAAATATAAAAGCAAGGAATAAGATATAATAAGGTCGTCACTTATGAAATGGGTTTTCTAAAGAATATTAATTCAAACAAAGTAGGGAATGTTTCTTCTTAAAATGTACTGGGTTCTTATAATATTCGTGATTAAAAAACCGCACACCTTTACCTAATTAATCATTAAGGTTTGCTTTGATGTACCTATCATTTTTTTGATAAACAAATGAGAGGAAATTATTTATTACTGAGTTTTTGCTGTCTCATCTTATCTTAAATTTAATTATTTATCAAAAAAAACTATTTTTATAATAAAATTTGAAAGAAAATGTTAAAGAGCATTTCCAGAGCAACGTTCTCTACGTTTATGAGTCACAACATATTAAAATCAACATATAGCTACAGGGTCAGATTTTAATCGGTAATTACCAGCATATAATAAAACAACCACCATGTGCGGAGAGTCACCCCATCAGTGGTACATGTTTATGGCTACGTATGTGTATAAAGATTGCGGTTCAAAAAGCCGCTTGTGAAAACTGACACTGTTATATAGGGGTAGCACGCGCCCGAGGGGTAAAGGTACACCACTATTGACTACGTGCAGTTAAAGCAAGTGGCCTTAAGAAGTGGCAAATATAAATTTGAAAAAGGACAAGTATGCGGGATTCCCACGCACACAATCAGCAATACGCAACTTTTATATGTATAAGTAGAGATTTTACGTGGTAAATGAGGCGTAAAAACCACAAAAAGAGGGTGTTAAATGATAAAAGTAGCTAATATTAAGTATAAATGAGTAACCAGAGTAACTAACTAAAGTATTAGGGAGGAACACGAAAAGAAATCGTTTAAACATCTCTAATACTAGTACGTAATTACAACATTAATGAAAATAATATATTTATCTTTTAGAAGAACATTAAAAAGTTCTAAAGTACTTAAACCTTAAAGATAATATATAAAATTTCAAAATATTTCAAAAAACAAAAATACATGGTCGTATAACATGATACTTTCATTTTCAAGCAAATATGTTGGTTGAAATTTTTAGAATTCGCTTTAAGTATTTTTATTAATTAGTAGTTAATTGTACAAGCAGTTGATGGTCATTGTGGAAGGTTAATCTCGTAAACTACCGTAATAATGTCGTAAATAAGATGTTCATGAAGATACACAAACGTTATCAACAACAATAATTAAAAAAATTATTGAACATTTTGGTGGAGGCGCAGGGACACTTTAAAGTAACGGCTATAATTGAGCTATAAATTTAGTTTTATTGATGTAGATTGATAGATGTAATGTATATTGTCTTCATGTAGATGCAGTTAGGAATGCTAATTTGTATTTTAATTTTTGCAATAAATTCAACTTGTTTCTAATATAATATATAGACAACCCAACATACAGTAAAAGTTACAACTCTGATAATGTAACTACAAAGAAAACTAAAAAACGGTTTTTCTCACGGAAATAACTATTTACCTGAAACTTAATACTATTCTCCAATAAACCAGAAAATATTATGTAGAAATAATTAATTAATTAGCAATATTTTAAAGGCATTTTGTATAATTTGTTCCAAAACATGAAAACCCTTACACATTTATTTGGAACTACTAAAAACATATTTCGTTATTAAATAAGAGTATTTTATTAAGTTTTCTTCTAAACTACCGTTTTAATGTTAAAAGTAAATCATTTCTGAAGATACACAAATATTAGTAAGAAACATTAAAAGTTTACTAAAAATTTTGGTGGAGGCGCCGGGACAATATAAAATAAAGGCTATAATTGAGCTATAATTCCGATTTTCTTGAAATAGATTGATGAATTTGCAACTTTAAATTATATTTATTCCTTATAGACGCAGTATGGGGTGGTAATTTATATTTTTTGTACAATAAATTAAACTATAATTTGTAATGTAAAATACATATTAGGCAATCC